ATATGAGTGCATGAGAGTGAAAACCTGAAAGTGAATTATTATGGCGAATTTGACCCCTGAGGACAATCAGTGTTCTAGTAGTTTCGGTAACACAATACGATAAGATACATCATTGTATCTAACGCTTATTTTATATTATTTTGTATTCTTAATTCACATCATAACTATATTAATTCGTTCTTTCTTTTTTTTATTTTGTTTTGTTGTGCCTCTTTTGCACGGGCCCTTTTCTGATTTCCAACCCTTTCAATTAAGTCATTGCTTGGTTTTGAGCAAAATTTGTCACGGAAAACAATAGGACAATATGGACGAATATTGTTCCAAAGGTCAACTTGTTTTTCTTCAGAAAGACTTTTTGGCGCAAGTTCTTGAGGATTTAGACTTCTAGCATTGGCATTCGGTTTTAATAATTGGAATTCATCCCATGGATCAGTAGTTTTGATCTTAGCTTTCATTATACCGGGATTTTCACTGCTGAACTGAAAAAAATGGTACTTTTGAATTGCTGGAGGTTTACGGTACAATAAGCTAAGTGCAGAAGTCCAATCACAGAATAGTCCTATTTGATCTTCTAAGCTTACAGAAAAATTATTACTCGCACTCCTATTTATTACTTCAACTAACTGGTCAATGCACCAAACCTCTGATCTGGCGTACTCTCTTTTAGTATTACCAAATCCTCGGTCAACAGAATTTCGAGTATGCCCTTTGATCTGGAAGCGATATTCGATTTTTTGAACTATTTGGGTGTGACAGGCCCATAGGAAATACCATAGAAGACACGAGTTTTTATTTTGTCCACCACAATTATCCGCCCATAATCTAATTTCATTTACTTTACCCACAACAGAAGTTAAAAATAGATGCACCATAGATGTAACTTCGTTGGCCCCTTTTGCTGCTTTTGCTTCTGTATAAAGAAAATGCCAATGACGGTCAATACCTTCTTCCACTAATCCAAATTGGTGCACTTTTAACAATGACGAATAATACCACCTTCCTGGTTGTTGAGGGTCATGAGGTATCTCAACGTTTTGAGCGAAGTCAAAAGACAAAACACGAAATGCAGATCGATTAGACTCTTTTGCCATTTGAATATCATTTTTATATGCTTCCCTCATAGCACGATAATCATATATATGCGTGGCAAATTGGTCATCAAGGTTTTCATTTACATTACTGCTTTCTTTTAATGCACGTTTAAACAAGGTACATTCATCGCATACATCTTTAGATGGTTTTCTAATAACAATCTTACTTAACTCTAGATCGTCCTTCCATATTTTTCGAAAGCTCCAGCTACTTACAAGATTATCTGGATGCATTAGGTTATAGAAGACTAAAAGCCGATTATAGGAATAGTGAGATGGAAGAAGGACAAGATCATGCTTTTCATATTGTACTGTTATTTGTCCATCTGTCTTTTTTCGTGTATATTTTCGAACAGCTAGTGCCTCACCGTGTTGATTACCAGTTAATCTAATAAACGATTTTATTTTATTAACTGTTTCAACACGTAATTTAATGACAGGTGAACGGCCAGCATTTCCATGAAGTGGGGGAAGCATAGATTTTTTTTCTTGAACCCATCCACGAAGACGATAGAAAGCATCTTTACCACATAGCCAAAATGTTTGAAAAAAAAGACTACAAACTTCACCGAAGTATGGTAGCTGATACTTGGTATTGAAAGATCTTTTGTGTGGCCCTTTATCAGATGAAGACATAAGTATTGTCATTGTATAACGTCGTTGCTCTTTGCTCATCTTAATACTTTCTAATGCTAAAGATTGTAACAGATCTGACGAAATTTTTTTACTACATTTCTTTTTACATGAGCAACATGACTTAAGCTTGTTAACCAAGTTATCTCGACGTTTTTCAATAACTTCCTTGGATTCTTCATCCACAGTTTCTTCATCATTCGAATCTGATTTTGATAAAAATTGAATATTTGATATTTCCTTATCGCATTCTATTTCATCATCATCATTATCATCATATTCTGTTCTCTCTTTATCGTGCTCTATTTCATGAGGAATCGGGGTAAGAGCAGCAGAAGTTTCAAAAAAATGATCCAAATCCTCCGGGATTTCCATTGATAATTAAAAAAAGTTAAACAAAAAAAAAAATTTAATCGATAATTATTTAACAATTTAGGCGTTGCGGATTTTAGAAAATTACAGTTGCAATGTGAAAAATTTTTTATGTATGTATATAATTTGGGATTTTTCTTTTATATATCTATTTTTACATACAATCGCCACTGTTTTCACTAATTTATTTTACCATATTTTCGATTAATTTACACTTAAAATTCTATATAATTGGAGGGCGTTCTCAAGCATCTCTATCAATAAACTATATAAAGAGTCTTATTCAGGTAGGCTAATCAGATTCTTTATTATGTCCATTGAGGTGCATGAGAACGTCTTAAGTCATAAAATTATGGCTAATCAGAAAGTATTTGATTATCAAACACGGTAAAACCTCCATAAGTGCACGCCGAACTTTAATGACATGCACTTAAAGAACAATAAGAAAAAGTGCATTTATGGAGGTCATGTACAGAGGGTGTGCACTTATAGAGGGTGCACTGATGAAGGTTTCACTGTATTTAAAGAATTTGCAGAGAAGTTTTATGATATTCTGAGTTTTTATTGGATATATTTTGCTCGGAAATCGCGGGACCAAGGATCGTTTTTGCCACTACTGATCCAACTGGATGATATTAAATTAATAGTTAAAGTGTAGTATAGAGTATGTAATTGTTGAAATCGAATAAATAGAAAATGTAAATAGAGAAAATTCATTAGTCTCTTTGATCGGAAAAGTAATAAAAGCGTTTTTAAAGTAAATACTTACGTGTTGAGTAGTGTGGTGTGTGCATTGTTATTAAAGAAGTGTGTCTTAAGTGCCAAGCGAGACCCGAATTAATTAAAGCCGTCTGAGGTAGATTGTAGTCGTTTCGGCGATTGCTTAACTCTTTGACAGTAATGCTTGAGCGATCTTTATCAATGGTAAATTTTTGAAGAAAAAATAATTTCTTGCGAACATCTTATATCAAAGAAATGAAACCATTAGATGCTAACAAATAAAGAGTTTACTTACTAACTACCGAACTAATTACTCTTATTAATATCGATCATCGCTAATTGTAACCACTTAAAAAATTCGATAAAAACAGAAAAATCGCAAAGTAACTCAAGATTTTATTAGCTTGACTTCTAAATAAAAGTTTTTAGCATGAAATTTTAGTTATATGAACACATTTAAATATCGAATACAGTAAAACCTCCATAAGTGCATGCCCTTGGGACCGAACTTTAATGACATGCACTTAAAGAACAATAAGAAAAAGTGCATTTAAGCGTGCATTTAGAGAGGGTGTGCACTTATAGAGGGTGCACTTATGGAGGTTTCACTGTATTAAGCAAATTAAAGCCTGCGTTAAATTCTGATCTTTGTGCTCTTTAGATTTGGTTGTCACAGATTCAGCACATGTATTTTTTAGGGGCTTACAAAAATTTGCAAATCAAGAAGACTGTAAAGTCTTTGAATAATAATATACAGTGAAACCTCTATAAGTGCATCCTCTATAAGTGCACACCCTCTCTAAATGCATGCTTAAATTCAGGCCCAAATCTGTACATGACCTCCATAAATGCACTTTTTCTTATTGTTCTTTAAGTGCATGTCATTAAAGTTCGGTCTCAAGGGCGTGCACTTATGGAGGTTTTACTGTACCACCTTGTATAATTGTTAAAATGCATTTAGGGGATGCTTAAAGCCAGGTCCATCCCGAATTTAAATTAATGTTAAGGTTGGTGCCAGTGTATAATTGTCTCCCTGACATTTTTATTATTCTACCAAGATAGGTTTAAATATTCGTTTCGCATTTTTTACTTTTTTTGCTTCGTCAGGCCAATTCACGTAAACGATCCCTGCATTTAGAAAATTCGATTTACAAACTGATTTGAAAAGCATTTTTAAAAATAATTTTATTATTGATAACTCGCTAAAATAAAATAGGTTGTAAATAAAATTAAATTTTATTATAAAAAGTAGTCTTCGTGATAGCAAAAAAATAATAAAATAAACAATTTTACAATTTACTACAACGAAACAAATGGCCTCTATCTTCTGCGCTATTTCCTTCATAAAAAGTGTTTTTGTTTCAAGTTCAGGAAAATATTGTACCGGGTCTGCGGTCTACCGAACAGCAACTAATGAATTTGCTGAATATAAGTTTAAAGCATTTTATATGGGAGAATCATCGCTTATTGAAGAATTGACCGAAAAAACTATCACTATGATAATTGGTTGTTTTGCATTCGAAGATGAGTTAAATGTAAACATAAAACCCAACTTGTTCATACTAGAGGTGCAGGCAAATTGTCTCAATGATTGCTGTAACTTTACCGAATGTATTATTAGTTATAACGGCACGTTACAGTAAAGTTATGGCAATCATTGGGACGATTTGCCTGCACCTCTAGTTCATATTAACCTATATAAAAGAATATAATGATTAATTTAATTTCATATTTAAAATTAAGGTTACGATTTCTCAAAGTGTATCTTTGCAAATTAAAACATTACAAAACGAACCTACCATTTATGATTTGCCAATTGCACCTGCTTTCGGAATTTTTTCCGCACCTGTTCAAGACCCTTCTGAACCACATGGCGACAGTGCAATCTTTCGTTTAAAAAAGGGAGTCTATAATAGTATGAATGGAAAAACCACTGATTTGTCAGTTATATGCAAGTATAATCCGAATCCGAAAGGTCACCATTCGAATGTAGCTGAAGCTACACATCGTCGAACTATTTTTTCTGTTGCTGGTGAACTAATTTTTGTTGAGAAATCTGTTTTTGTGTTATGTGAAGCAATAGAATGGAATTATTATGTAATGCGAGAAAATTCAAAATCGCAGTCGTGTGATGAGACAGAACATGTAAAAAAAAAAAGAAAAAGAGATGAGGAGCTAGCGAAAATTGCGAAAGTTTTTGAATCCAAAAACCAACATCAACAAAATAAGAATCGTAACCATGTAATTGTTGATTAGATATTAATAATTTTGTCATAATAAATGATAAAACTTACTTTATATTAAATTTTGTTTTTTTGGAAGCGGCTTATTTTTTTCATTATGTGTATTAATATATACAACACTTCGCTAGGCGTAACTGCTCTAATTCCAAATCCAAATACACGTTCATTCGTATGATTTAAGCAACGTGGCAGGCCCCTATTTATCAAAACAAAATTCACTTTTTGACGTTAATAATTTGTCATTAAAAAAATTACAAGTTTCGCTTTTATAGTAAAAAAAAAACCATAATCGATTATCTCAAGATAGTAAAAATGTCGAAATTTTGGCCCTGCCATTTTGCATCTCACATGATTTTGATTAATTAGTATATCAGAAGCCCCAGTGTTACGTGCTATCGAAACGACTAGAATATTGGTCGTATGCATGATGAATTACGTAATAATACAATTATCAGGGGTCAAACTCGCCAATAAAAATCCACTTCCAGGTTTTCACTCTCACGCACTCAT